TTATATATATATATATATATATATATATATATATTTATTTTTTTTTTTTATAAAAATTTTAGTTACTGAAAAAGGCTTTTGTTTATAGAATAATTAGCAACGTTAAAATATGTTGACAACAAGCTTATTGTTTTGTCTTGTGATTGTCATATGAAAGAAATTTTAAAGATCAATCTTAAATAATTTCTTTATGCCTTGTTTTATTGTTGTAATTCTCTACGTTTCCCACAGATAGACCCGCTGATATACGAGGAGCAGTTGCTATGGGTCGGCGGTGGAGCCGGTCAGGTCAACACTTACAGGATCCCTCTGCTAACCTTCACGACGCGAGGAAGTCTGCTGGCGTTCTCTGAGGCCAGGAAAATGTCCTCCAGTGACACTGGCGCGAAGTTCATCGCACTGAGACGCTCCACAGACAAAGGTGGACCATCCACTTTCACTACAGTCATAAATGGCTATTTTAGATGAAACTGAATTGTAATCTCTTTCGTCAATCTCTCAGGAGTCACCTGGTCTCCCACCTCATTCATAGTGGACGATGGTTCTCTAGCAGATGGGTTGACTCTAGGTTCGGTTGTTGTGGATGAAGAGACTGGTGCTGTGATACTCATCTACTCGTTGTGTTTCCACCGTTACCACTGCGACCCCTCCAGCACCATGATGGTGCAGAGCTTGGATGACGGGTTCACCTGGAGCGCTCCACGAAACCTCTCCGTTGAGCTGGGGGTGAAGAGCTTTGCTCCAGGGCCTGGCTTCGGCATACAGGTTTGGTTAGAGCTCTTTACTTTCTGTTCCTCCTTCAGGAGAAAACTAAAGCATGCTTTTATGACTTCCTGTTGTTTATGATGCTGTTATTATGACTTCTCGGGTTGAATAAAACTACATTTTATTGTCTGTGTGGTTAAGCATTGGTTTATAAATGAGAACAAAAAAGCTGACATGGTCTTTTTCCAGCTTCAGGAGCAGTTTATATGCTTTTAGTCCATCATATGCCTTTGTTCACAGAAACGGTATGCTCCCAATGTGGGCCGTCTGGTGGTGTGTGGCCACGGATCCATCGCTGGTGATGGGGTCTTCTGCATCCTGAGTGATGATCATGGTGAATCCTGGCGATATGGAGCTGCTCTGAAGAGCATCCCTTACAACCAGCCTAAACAAGACCTGGACTTCAACCCAGATGAGTGTCAGGTAAAAGTAAACAACTCAATACACAGAATGTATCTATGCTGAAGTGTTACTATATAGTAATTAGTAGGTTTTAAATCATTTTACTGTAGTACTGTATTCTTCTATTTTTCAATAAAACATACAAACATTTTTACAGTGTAGGCTTGATATTAAACAACTTGTGCTAATTGACTTCCTATTTGACTTGACGTACTATCTCACATCCTTTTTGTCGGCTTTATCAGCCAGTGGAACTCGAGGATGGAAGTATAGTCATCAATGTGCGCAACCAGAACAAGTACCACTGCCGCTGCCGAATAATCGTGCGGAGTTTGGACGGAGGCGAGTCGCTGCCCGTGGAGGAGCTGGTGTTTGACAAAACACTGATCGACCCCGTGGTCGCAGCCGGAGCCCTGCAGAAACAAGGAGTGATGTACTTCACCAACCCCTCCAGCACTCAGCACAGTGAGGAAGAGCAATTCACAGAGCATTACTCAGAAATATCACAGTTAAAGCTTCATGGAAGATGAATTGTTATTTTCTTGCACAGGGGTCAATCTAACTCTTCGCTGGTCCTTCTCTGATGGGAAGTCATGGGAAAAGGAGGCAATCCAGATCTGGGTGGGGCCAAGCGGTTATTCGTGTATAACATCACTCAAGGGAGATTCTCCTGAGGACAGCAAATTCATCTACGTCATTTACGAAAAGGGCCATAAAGATTACTGTGAGACCATCTCTTTTGCCAAAATCCATCTATATGGAGGGAAATAACATATAGGTGGAGGAGCCAAGAAAAGGGATATTTAGGACTTTTAAAATTAACTTTTTTTTTTTTGAGAAAACCAAGGTATCAGCCTGATGCAAAATCATTTTCTTTACATTAAATCTGGTCTATACTATGAATGGTTTTTATATGAATTTCACTCCGGAAAAATATTGAGGCATCCTGCTTCAGTGTGAGATTGATTTATACCGCAATATATTATAAAACAGCTATGATTGTACCCACTGTTTTTTACCTGGCAGTGCACAAAACTTTCTATAATATGTGTCTTGAAGTTCTCATTATTTCTTTGTGCAGATGGTGAGCTGCACATGTGTTTATTGTGACTATTTGATGTTTTTTTGTTTTTGTTTACAATAATGTAACTCAGGTGAATCTTTATGAAGCTACAACATTCTTAAAATGGTTGTTTTCTACTGTATAACAGTTGATTGAATTAAGTCTTGAATTATTGTTTTGAATACAGAAATGTGATTTCTTTTTAATTACCTTGAGGTGTTTCTTTTATCCCTGGTGTTGCTTAAATGAATGAAGGCCTTTGAAATGACTTGCTCACATAAACTGGAAGACACAAGGGTTTGAGACACATAGACACTCTAAGCAAGCAGTGTTCATGTTCTCCACATTATACTACTGTGATATCAGAAAACCCCATTTTATATTCTAAGCAAGTGTCATTCATGTGCTTCAGGTTATGTGGTTTCGTTTACCCAGTCTGGCCTTTTTGTGGCCATAGATGTTGTACATTTAGATACCAGACAAATTATGTTGGTAACATCTTACTGTAAGTGACTTTTAAATAGTACATGCAAGTTTGTATTGAAAGTCAACCGAAAGGCTATCACTGTATTAAATTTCATATAAACACATTTGACTTTTCACTTGATTTGCACGCATTTTATTGTTCAATAAATTGTTCTATTTTGATACAGCAACTCCTTGTATCTTTTAGTTCCAACCATATCCAAGACAAATAAGAACACCTGACATTATATTTGAGTAGGGCAACATTTGCACTTTTAAATTAGTCAGAGATGATCGCTAGAAAGTCTTATATGTACCATATTTTATTAGATGGTACATCACTCCCTCCACCTGTCCTCACACCATAGCTCAATAACTCATAGAGACTAAAACATTTATCACACTTAAAAACAGAAAAATACACAGGTGCAGTACTGTTCAAAAGTTAAGATTTTTTTGTTTTTGAACGCATTTATTTGATCAAACATACAGTAGAATACATATTATTACAATTTAAAATAACTTTTCTTTTTGAATATGATTTAAATTTTAATTTATGATGCCAGAACTGAATTTTCAGTATTATTACTGCAGTCTTCAGTGTCACATGATCATCAGAAATCATTCTAATATGCTGATCTGATGCTCAAGAAACATTTCTGATTATCAGTGTTGAAACGTGCTACATAAAATTTTTGTGGAAACCAAGATAAATGTTTTTGCATGTTTTTCCTATGTTTTTGCATAGTAAGTCAGAATAATAAAAAAAAATAAAACCCTTTTTTTTTTTGTAAGTAACATTACAAAACTGTCTTTACTGCCTCTTTTGGTCAATTTAATGCATCCTTGCAACAAAAAAAAAGGTATAGGCAGAGGTTATTTAAGAAAGTACCTCTTTTATAAGGTCCTTACTGTCAGATATTTATTAAAACATTTATATAATTAGCCTATGCAACGTCAAATCAGCCTTAACCCTTTCGCACGTGAGTTTAAAATATTCTAGCTGAGCCCCCAGCGTGAGTTTTTTTAGGCGACCGTTATTTTAAAATGTAGCGCCTTATTGTTTCCATGGCGACATGTCATGCTTGTCATGTGACACAACGCAGCCACAATAGCTTTGTGTGACACATGGATCGCTTTTATTTCGTTTTTCCTGTTTTATTCAAAATATTCAAAAACATGATCACTATATTACGAACTATCTGATATTCCGATTCTGAAATATGTGCAATTAAATCTATTTGGTAGTTTAAACACTTTTATATCGACCGTGTTAGTTGATCTATACCGGGTGATGGGCGCCGCCATGTTAGTTCGCGCTGAATCCGAACTGTGGGATTTACAACACACAAATTCATCCTCTCCTACCGAAACACGTTAAAGTAGGTCTCAGGTAAACTGGGAGAAGAGCAGAGTAAACTTTATAGTTACCTACACAATCTGTATATGATATCAATAAAAACATCAGATTATACATCGTCAGATTATATTTGTAAGGATCATTATTGCCGTTTCCATAGACATCAGCGCGCATTTTACAAACTGTAAATGTATGGTTTTGCTAGTACTTATGTGTATTTAAATGTCTGAAACCTAAAATAAGTATTATATGGTTGAAAACAATGAATATCTGTGATAATATGACAAGCGCGTAGCGCATCCGATCTGGCTCTGCGCCAGCCAAAGCGCGGATTTAAATTCAGCAGTTGATGACGTGACGCACTGAAAGTTCTGATCACACCGGTGTTATCATACGCTTCAGGGACCAGCCAAGACTGATCACACCGGTGTGATCGTACGCTTCAGGGACCAGCCTAGTCTGATCACACTGGTGTTATCATACGCTTCAGGGACCAGCCTAGTCTGATCACACTGATGTTATCATACGCTTCAGGGACCAGCCAAGTCTGATCACACTGGTGTGATCGTACGCTTCAGGGACCAGCCTAGACTGATCACACCGGTGTGATCGTACGCTTCAGGGACCAGCCTAGACTGATCACACCGGTGTGATCGTACGCTTCAGGGACCAGCCTAGACTGATCACACCGGTGTGATCGTACGCTTCAGGGACCAGCCTAGACTGATCACACCGGTGTGATCGTACGCTTCAGGGACCAGCCTAGACTGATCACACCGGTGTGATCGTACGCTTCAGGGACCAGCCTAGACTGATCACACCGGTGTGATCGTACGCTTCAGGGACCAGCCTAGACTGATCACACCGGTGTGATCGTACGCTTCAGGGACCAGCCTAGACTGATCACACCGGTGTGATCGTACGCTTCAGGGACCAGCCTAGACTGATCACACCGGTGTGATCGTACGCTTCAGGGACCAGCCTAGACTGATCACACCGGTGTGATCGTACGCTTCAGGGACCAGCCTAGACTGATCACACCGGTGTGATCGTACGCTTCAGGGACCAGCCTAGACTGATCACACCGGTGTGATCGTACGCTTCAGGGACCAGCCTAGACTGATCACACCGGTGTGATCGTACGCTTCAGGGACCAGCCTAGACTGATCACACCGGTGTGATCGTACGCTTCAGGGACCAGCCTAGACTGATCACACCGGTGTGATCGTACGCTTCAGGGACCAGCCTAGACTGATCACACCGGTGTGATCGTACGCTTCAGGGACCAGCCTAGACTGATCACACCGGTGTGATCGTACGCTTCAGGGACCAGCCTAGACTGATCACACCGGTGTGATCGTACGCTTCAGGGACCAGCCTAGACTGATCACACCGGTGTGATCGTACGCTTCAGGGACCAGCCTAGACTGATCACACCGGTGTGATCGTACGCTTCAGGGACCAGCCTAGACTGATCACACCGGTGTGATCGTACGCTTCAGGGACCAGCCTAGACTGATCACACCGGTGTGATCGTACGCTTCAGGGACCAGCCTAGACTGATCACACCGGTGTGATCGTACGCTTCAGGGACCAGCCTAGACTGATCACACCGGTGTGATCGTACGCTTCAGGGACCAGCCTAGACTGATCACACCGGTGTGATCGTACGCTTCAGGGACCAGCCTAGACTGATCACACCGGTGTGATCGTACGCTTCAGGGACCAGCCTAGACTGATCACACCGGTGTGATCGTACGCTTCAGGGACCAGCCTAGACTGATCACACCGGTGTGATCGTACGCTTCAGGGACCAGCCTAGACTGATCACACCGGTGTGATCGTACGCTTCAGGGACCAGCCTAGACTGATCACACCGGTGTGATCGTACGCTTCAGGGACCAGCCTAGACTGATCACACCGGTGTGATCGTACGCTTCAGGGACCAGCCAAGACTGATCACACCGGTGTTATCGTTCGCTTCAGGGACCAGCCTAGACTGATTACACCGGTGTGATCGTACGCTTCAGGGACCAGCCAAGACTGATCACACCGGTGTGATCGTACGCGTTAAAGGGTTAATGATAGAACTTTAGTCATTAGAATTAAAACGGGATAACCATTTATGAATTGTGTGATCGTACGCGTCAAAGGGTTAATCCTGAAGTAGCCTAGGCTACAAGATTTGTTTGTTTTGTGTTTGTTGTCACATTTTCAATCACAGCCATGATATATCAACTGCCACACAAATAATATAAAGAAAATATATTTGAAATCTCATTTGTACTAATTTAAACAGGTCATTTTAGTACCTAAAGACATATATATGTCATGTATATACAAAATACCGGTTTGTCAAAACTACAAGTTGTCAGTTCCGGGAATGAAGCTGAAATTCAGTCTGAAAGCTTAATGGAGTCAATTTATCCGTTCATTTAACGAAGTGAATGCTAGGGTTGTCAATATTTACCATATTCGACTCTGATTTATCTGATAGTGTCCAAGTAAGTGAGTCAAGACAGAGAAGTCTAAGGTGCAGCTGATTGATTTGCATGTCAGCGAAGTGCATTGCGCTCATCTCAATAATGTACTGCAGACTAGACCGGTCTGTTAAACCAGTTCTTTTGCCATTCCTCGGCTGACTCCGTTGAGCGCTTTGTGGGCTTTAAGTAGCCTTCAGGAAAAATCACAGTAGTTTGCACATGACTTGACAAAACTTGCCGTCATGAATCGGAACCCTTTGCGGATTTTGCTTCTTGCAGTGCTGTGCTCGTTTGCGCGAAATGAAACGGTAGGCTAGAAGATTTTGTTTATCATATCCTCCTGGGACCCAGGCATAGACCTTTTAGATTGATTATATTTTAGTGAATTTTTCTGAGACCCTACATGCCAGTTTTAGTCTGGATGTCCAGTACAGGGCTTTTCAGAGATATATCAAATATTTGGAGTTTTGATCATAACACACTTTCTCTTTGGTCTTTAAATATGACTGATATTGACAGAATGATCAAATTTAACACTCTTAGGGAAATATGATAATGTTTTGTAATTATTATTTAAATCGGACCAATTTTCAAATTGTTTGAAACATCTCAGAAAAATGTTATGGGATTTCAAATCGGAATATGAATTTTTGTTATGAAACAGGGCATAATTTTTATACGTGTCTTCTGTAGAGGACAGCAGGACAAACATCATGTTAATCAGGCATTTTGGGTAAACACAAGTCAATAGGGAAAGAAATTATACATCAATATGTGAGATATTCTTATGAAAATGTTGCAAAGTTATTACTCCCATTATAACACTTCTTTTTGTCATTATGGTTTGCCCCAAGAACACATTCATATGCAAATTAGATTCAATGTATAGATACATTGTATAGAATGGGAATTCCAATTTATGGACATTTTATGCACATATTGCATAAAGTACAGTAGTATATCAAATCATTCTGTTATATCTTTCATAACATATAGTTGAGAATCATCTTTGTAGAAAGTTTGGTTAAAAATAGCCCGATACCTAAAAACTGATTGGTGAATGAAAAAAATAAATAAAGCATTGTTTTTGCCGACACACGCCTTTTCATGTCTATTTATTTTATTATCATGTCTATTATTATTATTATTATTATTTAATAACTTAGTCCTGGCATCCTCTACATAATAAAATATTAATAAAATATATATTTTTTCAAAAATGTTGTTTCTCATTGTTACGGGGCTGACAAAACTTGAGACATGCGGATCCATGTGCAAGCTA